CAGTTGAAATTCTAAGTTATTTTAAGAAGTATTTAGAGGGACTGAATACTAATGATTACCAACTATTTCATATTTTAATTTCCTACTTAACAATTGTATTAAATTGGATCTTTGCTGACAGTCACATTGCAATAACCAATGCTATAAGCCAGGAGAATACTCTAGTATGTCGCTGTAATGTGAAAGAGGTTCAAGTGGTGTACATTTCTTATGAAAGCCCTGAAATAGTGATTCTATCAATTATTATATTTGACTGATTTTGGTATCAAAGAACATGTTTTCTGAATAACCTTGTTTTTAGGTTCATGGACTCTTTGACTGTGCTAACATGATCTTTTTTCCATTTTTAGGCTGGTCTAAATACAAAGTTCAAATGTGGACATCCATAAGTCCTCCTAGAAAATCTGAAAACTGCTCCCTGCTACTAGAAGAAATCACAAGATACTGGGTACAAACACAACACTTTATTCTGCTTCCTGACTTGCTATGCATACAAAAACTTGTTTTGTTGGGTTCTAAATTTAAATGAATTTAGCAATTTAAAAAAAGCTTTGATACTGATCCCAATTACAGCTATATTGGGAAAAAGGGTGTTAAATATACAATATGTTTACAATAGTTTGTAATACTCAATGGTTCACCAACCTTCTGAAGATTCTAGCTCTAAAGGTGAAAGTCAAATGACTGTTTAACAATCTGTTTGGGGCTTTGAGTGTTAAGATCATTATCAAATTAGTTAATATAAAGACCAATGCCCCTCCAAGTATTCTGCATGCCAATGTCAGAAAATCCTCATTTGGTATAACAGCATTAGAGTAAAGATTAATAAATTGAATAAATGAGGAACATTGGGCCTTTGCTTTAATAAATAAATAAACAAACAAACAAACACTTGGGCAAATTTTGAAAGCAGTACATAATAGCTGTGAAAAAGCATTTCATTAATAAGGATTTGCTTTTTTATTAATGTTAAATACTTCCAATCATATGAATTAGAAGAATAACAGAGATAAACAAGTTCAATGTGTTTTTTTTTAAATTAAGACATAATTTTTCAACAGAAAAAAGCTGTCCAAACCCTGAAAGTTTAATGTAGGAAAATGATTGCCTTATAAACCAAATAACGGCTTCCACCACCTTTAGCAACCATACTTTGTGCATAGTTGGGGTAGTGGGTCTTTTACTGTACAGTGGAGGAATTATTGCATTAACAACCTCTTTTAGGTCACATTGTCTAGTAATGGTTTAAGCCTCGACTGCGACTTTTGGATAGAGTTAATCTTGGGTGGATTTACTGTGTTGTTGAATGATTTCAATCTGTTTCCAGGCTTAATATCAGAGACTGAGGACTTGAAATTCTCTTTTTCTGATTTAGAGCTCTAATCCTGGTTTCTTTAGTTGAAACAAATCCTCCTAAGGTAGTAAAACAGATGCAGACACTACCAAAGTTGTGTTTGACTGTCAGTATTCAATGCTTTCATAAATGCTATGTTATCTTTACATTAAAAGTATCTTATGAAAAATGTCAGAGGGAAATTTGTTTTGTTTTTTTGGAATACTTTAGGCTCGGTCAGTCACTATCGGGATGGTTCACTACTCTGTGTTTTTTCATTTAACCTTTTTTGACAGTTAATTGGAGCCTTAAAGCCTCATAAATATCTTAGTTGGTCTTTCCACACAGTTCGATTAGCTTTGTTTTAAATATATATATATAATTTTTTTTTTTTTTTTTTTTACATGGGGTTTGGATAGTTTTTTTTATTAATGAATGAAATGGACATTTGAAAGCTGTACTTTGTATCTACTCTGGTTATGTTTGTCTAAGGATAAAGCTGTTTGTAATTTGAAAGAATGTAGGTGTAACATAAGAAATTTGAGAGGTGGCATGTGGCAGCACTGACGCTCTGATGCTCATGTCACAACTTTTCAACATCTTCACCACGTTTTTGACAGTCTGGCCTCACTAAGGATGAAACGCTACAATATCAGACCCATGCAAAGTTGATATTGGATTGTTATTTATTTTAAGCAGTATATATTTAACAGTCATTGTAAGACGAGGTGGATAATCAAAAGTGCTAGAGGGCTAAAATACAAAAAAAAAAAAAAAATGTTGAGTAGCTTACTATGTTTCTGTTTTTCAGCTTGTGAGCATTTTTCCTAACAGCACTTCTGTCCAGGACATTTTTATTTCATCTCAAAGGTAAAATATGTTCTCCTTTCAGTCTGTGTTTAACTAACTGCTGTACTGTAGTAAAAGTATCAGAATCTTGGAGGTTTAATCAAACATTTGGTGTAACTTTACGTTTTTTTTAACGCTATCTATAATTACATAATCAAAATACATTGAGGGTAAATAGTATGTCTTTATGGATGCAGGTGAAATGTACTAAAGAAAAAAGAAATGGAGCAAAAAGCATTTCTGACTTCTCTGTCTCCTCTACAGGCCAACCTGCAATGTACATCAAAAGCAGGTATGCAACTAAATACTACATGCTGATGAAAGAGCATGTAAAAATTCAATTTACAATGAAAATATTTTATTAATCCCCAAGGAAAATTTAATTTTAAACAGCCAAGCATTCGTCTCATAAAGAAAATACCTTATTACAAAAGTAACTTTTAAATCCAGCTTTAAAAGGTGTAAATTGTTCACGTTTTACAGGATATGGCAGAGAGATCTAACTCAACATGTGAGAAATGGTGAGATTGGATCATGTAAACTAGTCTGAATGATCTGTTGACAAGCTCTAATAATTTCCCTCTTTAGTTTCAGCTGTGAGGTCTATGTGACTGTGGATCCTACAGCTGACGTAAAAAAGGTTCAGACGGACATTAGTGACTTACTGAGTTCAATCTTCTCTTTCAACTTCCTCACAATAGAGGTTGTTTATGACAGCATCATGGTGCTTCCTGCTGGTGAGTCCTGTATGCTACAATTCACCCATCAAACAGAACTGACAAAGAACAGTAGTAAAGGGGCGGTATTGATTTAAACACATAAAGTAACTACTTCACTTTTTCATTTCTGGTGTAGTACCAGCATTATGTAATATTAAAGCTATATAAAGTGTCAACTTTAGACATGTCTTCATTCTTTTTGTTCCTTTATTGTTTTGCTCTCGGGTTAAACTATCATTAATAAAAGGCTGTATAAAGTATCAGATTAAAACAGATGAGTAATGTCTCCAATGCATTTTTTTTTTTAAAAAATCTTTAAATACAACCTTCCATAATTTGGTAATACTTGATTTGATTAAGTCTCCATTTTTCAGTAATTTTGCCTCATGTGACTGGACCACCACCAACCCTTTCAGCCTCATTAACCACCTCAGGTAAGCTTCTAGATCAAAGGTTCAAATCATAAAACAAGTGTATTGCAAGGAATTGCAATAAAAGTATTCATTTTCTTTACAGAAAAAGGTCTAACAAGGAGTCCCCAACCGCAGCCTGTCAACAAGTCAACAACAGGAGGACCTTTAGATCGCACCGTTGGATTGGGTTAGTCCTCTAGAAACCAGGTTTTTATATAGAGTGTAAAAAGAGGGCATGTGGATTATTTTAGCATTATTGAGGCTTGTGTTGAACTGTAGCTTATTTGAGCGAATGGATAAAGATGTTAATGAAAACTGCAGCAAGCTTAAGGATGCGTAATTTCAACAGCTTTCCCAGTACTCCATCCGGTCCTTTGGCTTTGCTAATGTTGACATCACGCATGGCGTCCAGTATTTACTCACGGTTATCATACAAAAAGGCTTTACACAAGATAGNAAACAAACAAACACTTGGGCAAATTTTGAAAGCAGTCCATATTAGCTGTGAAAAAGCATTTCATTAATAAGGATTTGCTTTTTTTTAATTACTGTTAAATACTTCCAATCATATGAATTAGAAGAATAACAGAGATAAACAAGTTCAATGTGTTTTTTTTTAAATTAAGACATAATTTTTCAACAGAAAAAAGCTGTCCAAACCCTGAAAGTTTAATGTAGGAAAATGATTGCCTTATAAACCAAATAACGGCTTCCACCACCTTTAGCAACCATACTTTGTGCATAGTTGGGGTAGTGGGTCTTTTACTGTACAGTGGAGGAATTATTGCATTAACAACCTCTTTTAGGTCACATTGTCTAGTAATGGTTTAAGCCTCGACTGCGACTTTTGGATAGAGTTAATCTTGGGTGGATTTACTGTGTTGTTGAATGATTTCAATCTGTTTCCAGGCTTAATATCAGAGACTGAGGACTTGAAATTCTCTTTTTCTGATTTAGAGCTCTAATCCTGGTTTCTTTAGTTGAAACAAATCCTCCTAAGGTAGTAAAACAGATGCAGACACTACCAAAGTTGTGTTTGACTGTCAGTATTCAATGCTTTCATAAATGCTATGTTATCTTTACATTAAAAGTATCTTATGAAAAATGTCAGAGGGAAATTTGTTTTGTTTTTTTGGAATACTTTAGGCTCGGTCAGTCACTATCGGGATGGTTCACTACTCTGTGTTTTTTCATTTAACCTTTTTTGACAGTTAATTGGAGCCTTAAAGCCTCATAAATATCTTAGTTGGTCTTTCCACACAGTTCGATTAGCTTTGTTTTAAATATATATATATAATTTTTTTTTTTTTTTTTTTTACATGGGGTTTGGATAGTTTTTTTTATTAATGAATGAAATGGACATTTGAAAGCTGTACTTTGTATCTACTCTGGTTATGTTTGTCTAAGGATAAAGCTGTTTGTAATTTGAAAGAATGTAGGTGTAACATAAGAAATTTGAGAGGTGGCATGTGGCAGCACTGACGCTCTGATGCTCATGTCACAACTTTTCAACATCTTCACCACGTTTTTGACAGTCTGGCCTCACTAAGGATGAAACGCTACAATATCAGACCCATGCAAAGTTGATATTGGATTGTTATTTATTTTAAGCAGTATATATTTAACAGTCATTGTAAGACGAGGTGGATAATCAAAAGTGCTAGAGGGCTAAAATACAAAAAAAAAAAAAAAATGTTGAGTAGCTTACTATGTTTCTGTTTTTCAGCTTGTGAGCATTTTTCCTAACAGCACTTCTGTCCAGGACATTTTTATTTCATCTCAAAGGTAAAATATGTTCTCCTTTCAGTCTGTGTTTAACTAACTGCTGTACTGTAGTAAAAGTATCAGAATCTTGGAGGTTTAATCAAACATTTGGTGTAACTTTACGTTTTTTTTAACGCTATCTATAATTACATAATCAAAATACATTGAGGGTAAATAGTATGTCTTTATGGATGCAGGTGAAATGTACTAAAGAAAAAAGAAATGGAGCAAAAAGCATTTCTGACTTCTCTGTCTCCTCTACAGGCCAACCTGCAATGTACATCAAAAGCAGGTATGCAACTAAATACTACATGCTGATGAAAGAGCATGTAAAAATTCAATTTACAATGAAAATATTTTATTAATCCCCAAGGAAAATTTAATTTTAAACAGCCAAGCATTCGTCTCATAAAGAAAATACCTTATTACAAAAGTAACTTTTAAATCCAGCTTTAAAAGGTGTAAATTGTTCACGTTTTACAGGATATGGCAGAGAGATCTAACTCAACATGTGAGAAATGGTGAGATTGGATCATGTAAACTAGTCTGAATGATCTGTTGACAAGCTCTAATAATTTCCCTCTTTAGTTTCAGCTGTGAGGTCTATGTGACTGTGGATCCTACAGCTGACGTAAAAAAGGTTCAGACGGACATTAGTGACTTACTGAGTTCAATCTTCTCTTTCAACTTCCTCACAATAGAGGTTGTTTATGACAGCATCATGGTGCTTCCTGCTGGTGAGTCCTGTATGCTACAATTCACCCATCAAACAGAACTGACAAAGAACAGTAGTAAAGGGGCGGTATTGATTTAAACACATAAAGTAACTACTTCACTTTTTCATTTCTGGTGTAGTACCAGCATTATGTAATATTAAAGCTATATAAAGTGTCAACTTTAGACATGTCTTCATTCTTTTTGTTCCTTTATTGTTTTGCTCTCGGGTTAAACTATCATTAATAAAAGGCTGTATAAAGTATCAGATTAAAACAGATGAGTAATGTCTCCAATGCATTTTTTTTTTTAAAAAATCTTTAAATACAACCTTCCATAATTTGGTAATACTTGATTTGATTAAGTCTCCATTTTTCAGTAATTTTGCCTCATGTGACTGGACCACCACCAACCCTTTCAGCCTCATTAACCACCTCAGGTAAGCTTCTAGATCAAAGGTTCAAATCATAAAACAAGTGTATTGCAAGGAATTGCAATAAAAGTATTCATTTTCTTTACAGAAAAAGGTCTAACAAGGAGTCCCCAACCGCAGCCTGTCAACAAGTCAACAACAGGAGGACCTTTAGATCGCACCGTTGGATTGGGTTAGTCCTCTAGAAACCAGGTTTTTATATAGAGTGTAAAAAGAGGGCATGTGGATTATTTTAGCATTATTGAGGCTTGTGTTGAACTGTAGCTTATTTGAGCGAATGGATAAAGATGTTAATGAAAACTGCAGCAAGCTTAAGGATGCGTAATTTCAACAGCTTTCCCAGTACTCCATCCGGTCCTTTGGCTTTGCTAATGTTGACATCACGCATGGCGTCCAGTATTTACTCACGGTTATCATACAAAAAGGCTTTACACAAGATAGGAACGAGTTTTAGAAGTTGAATATGGACAACTTGACTTCAGTGAAAGGTAACCAGCAGCCTTTACTACTTAGATCCTTCTTTACTAAAGGTATATAATTCAACACAAAATGCTTTTGAGAAAAGTGGTAGATGTTTTAGCAATATGTGTAAATTACATGTTTTGGGGAATTTATGAAAATATAAGTTGGAGGATGGGTGTTACGGTTGCTGCCATAAAACTAAACCTTTGTCTTCACTGGATCATTGTCCAACGTAAAGGTGCATAACAGCTGGTAAAATGAACTCTGAAATAGCTTGTCAGACAAAACAAGCATTCTCTAAGTGGTGTCCTATAAGAAACACAACTGGTGACAGTTAGTATAACACAGGATTTGATGAGGGGCACACACAGTAAGTTGCAGTACAATGTATAATAGAACTTGTCTGCTTACTCTCCATGAATCCCTTTTGCAGTCATGCCAGACCAGTTTTTCCGGGTTAATCTGACCTTATGCATTAGAGGGAGCCTTTTAAGACCAAAAGACTTCATTGAGAACTGGGTAAGATCTTGAAATTATCTCTCTAAAATCATATTTCCAAAACCATTTACATTGTCCTTCTTTCCTTAAAGCTAAAGCATCAGCTTGAGACCAATGGCACCATGACAGTGGTGAATCTTTTTATAAAGGACAGTTCTAGTAGGTGTGTTTTTATTATTTTGTCTTTATGTATATTTGGTGCTATATCATAGTCATTAACACTTTTAATCCAATTCTGGCTTTACCTGTTCTATGAATTACAGAAGTATGAAAGAATATACTAATTTGATGGTAAGTATTCACTTCAGTTTAGTACCAAAACAAACCACATCATCAAAAAAAAAAATCTGTCTAAATGAAGCTTAAATATCTGCTTTTCTGTATTCCAGACTTCCTACACTGAAGAGGAACAGTATGTGACTATAAGTAAAATATTATGTTAGTTTATTGTTTAGTCCTATGTCCTTCATTCTAATTTATCTTATTTGTAGGTACAACTGCGCCTTCCATGTTCGGGAGTTTCGCAAAAGCAATGTGGCTGATGTTGAGTCCCTTATTTATTTTGCCTTGATATCAAAATATGGAAATGCTTCTTTTGAAATTCAGACAAAGAATGTATCCATCAAACACATAGGTAAGCTGTTTTTAACACAATCCATTTAAACCGTAAACATCTCCACGCAAGCTTAATTTTGACACATTACAACAGCAAACCTATCTTATTGCCATTTTCTGTAAGAGACCAACACAATGATATTTATAATTTTATAAATTTTTTTAGCTCTACTGAGACAATATTGTAGAACCACCTTTCATTGCTGCACGTCTTCTGAGCAATAACTAATAGTTTTGCCAAGTTTTTCCCAGCTCTTCCTTGGAAAATTCTACTAAAAGCTGATGAACCATAAACACAAGTCTTTTAAACTTGTAACATATTTTCCTTAAGATTCAGGACCTAATTCAAGTTTTGGATTTTGACTAGACTATTATTGCAGATGGATATGCTTTCATCCAAAGCTTCACATAGTTTATCTGTTTTTGTTATTAAGGATCAGGGCAGTCCAATGGACTAAATATACCAATTGGTCATTGGCACAAGCATCCTTTTAACATCTCTAGAGTTCATTGCTCTCTGAAAAAGAATGTACAAAATTGGTTTCATCC